CTGCTGAGAGTGCTGGGTGGCAAGGATGGGGGTGGGGAAGCAGGTGGCTCTGGAACAATCCAGGTGAGGGGGTGGTGGCCACCGTAGCAATGGAGGTGGAGAGAAGGGGTCAGCTTCCGGAGAGATGTCAAAAGTAGAGAGAGGAGGATTTCTTGACAACTTGACGTGGACCAGGAGAAAAAAAAAGTCAAGGATGACAGGGATTTGATCTAAGTGACCAGAAGTCATCATTAATTGAGATGAGAAATGCGGGGAAAGATCAGACATGCGGTTTGGGAGAAGTGTTGAAGATAAACGAGGATGGTAGTAAATTGCAGTCAGATTAATTTTAACTTCTTTGGCTCCCACACAGGCACCCGGGGGTCCTTCCATATTGGGCTCAAACGTGGTTTGATTATGACCTTTGTGTATTTCGTTGGAGTTTTAGAGAGGTGACGGCTCACCTTCTTTGTCAGTGTTCTTCTCTGACACGGTAAGAGGAGCACTATGTGAGGAATTAGAATGCTTCCCAATAATGCTGCCCGTGGTCCCCTGTTGCATGGATGAGTGGTCCAGACCTACACCTGAGTGAGCATCTATCCTCTCTTGCCTCTTCCTCCCTCATTCACACCCTCACACACACCCCTAGAAGTCCCGTGTACACACTTTCCTCTGAGTCGATCCTCAGAAATAAAGTCAGTCATTATTACAATGAATTATTATCACATTATTACAGAATGAAGAAAGTCATTATTCTAAGATGCCCCCAAAAAAGTTGTGTGGTGAGATGAGAACCGCCCTTCCCTTGTCTCCTTTTGGTAATCAAATTTATGTTCCTTATAACTTCTAAATGAATACAACATAAGCATCCATATATGAAGCCAAGTTATAACAAATACCAAGAATCCAATCAAGGTTTCTTAGGGATCATAAAAAAATAATTATTTTCTATGAATTGAGCTATAGAATCTTAGGAGTCAGCTTGAGATAAACAAGATTTGAGGTTTATGATCAGTTCTTTAAAATAATACCTCACTACAGAGGAACCCCAAACTCTTAAGAATACATGAAAGATTCCCCTTTACAAAATGGATTGGGCGAGTGGGGAGTAAAACCATGATTTGTAAGTAAGACTAATCATGGTAAAGCTACCTTTATTGAAATCCACCAGTGGATTTAGACTATTCTATCAAAATTCTATACATAACACAGCAATTCCATATGCTAAATGAAAAACTGTGGGGAAATGCTACATGGAAAAGTGCTTATTCAGTTTTATTTGTAAACAGAGCATTTCTGAAAAGGCACACAAATAGTGGTTGTAATACTGACCTGTAGTGTGAGAAATAGGTGGCTGGAAGAAAAGGAGAGGGTTGCTTTTGGGTTTGCATCAAGTGCACGTATTATCTACTCAAAATGTTGACTTACTTACTTCCTCCTAATTAAAAATGTGTTTTTATATCAATTGCAATACACTAAGTTGAAAATGATTTTTGTCAAGTTGCTTAATTTCTAGGACATCCCAATCTAGAAGGTTTTCTCTCTCAGTGGAAGACTTGAATTGTTTCCATTTAACTATTGATACCTATGATACTGGGCAAGTCTGTGTGGACTCAAATTCTTCATTGAAAAAAATGGGCTTAGACTAGAGATGACTTCCAAAATCTCTTTCTGGGCTAAGATACTGTGATTATGTGACTTGACTATGCAATATTTGGGGAAAAAAACTGAAATAAGTTGTCAAAAGAGAATTTGAATGTGATAGTGAGTTTTGGTGATATGGCAGAAATAATGTGGCAGTATAGTTGTATACAACTACTATTTTTGCGATACATTTCATTCTTAAACCACACCTCATTAATTCCCTTTCATTTCTACTCACCTTTGAAATACCTAGGGAACAACAAGAGACAGAGTCAACTGAAGAAATTTATTTACTTTTTTTTCTAGGTACATAGATGACATAATTATAGACAAGTTTTGATACATAGGAAAACCGTTCTGTCCACCTCTTTTTGCTAAATGAATCATCACAATAATTTTTACAATTTTTAAAACAATACACAGCTTTCTTGGGCTGAAGCAATCGCAAGAACATATCGGTACTGGTATATTACAGCTACTTACAATGTTTAAGAACAGCAATGGAGAAAAATAAGTTATTTAAATATTGATTTCATATACAGAAAGTGCAATGTTGTTAGTTGTTATATAACTTGCTTGACAGTTTCTTGTTTCTCTATCAATTTAAAATCAAGATAATGTGGACTCAGACTTTTTTTTTCTGAAAATAATACAGTACACACATGCAGCATTGACTTGGTGAACTGACTTCTTTTGCTGCAATTATGAAAGCAAACTTTGCTCTGTCAGGAACTGATTTTCAACAGACTACTTATTTCCAATTTCACCCACACCTGGGTAAAGGAAAAGAGAAAAGGGCCTCTGACTAAGGCAAGGCCATGAAAAATCTATCTACTTCTTGGTTATCTGGGAATGTAAGTAGTGGTTGGGGCTGGCTGCATTTCCTTATAGACAGCTTCAAAGAAAAAAATAACACACAACGGACGTGTAGCTACCTGAGCCAAACTGCCTCTCCAGGTTTCTCTTGTGCTTTCCTAAAACAACAGTGTTCACCCTTCCTCAACATTCTGCACCAAGTGCAATGGATGAAAACCGGATATTGCTGAAGCCGACCACCTGTCTTCCGGCATCCACAGGCGGCCGCAAACCATCTCAGTCAAAAGTCACACACAAGCATTCAGGCTTTTCTAAGGTCAATTTAAAAGTTTAAAGCAAAAGAAGACCAAACAAATATTAAAAGTTTACAAACAAAAGGATTTTAATAAAAGCACAATAAAGTAAAAATCACCTCATATCCCACAGACTAGGAAGCCCTTCCACTGAAAATGATTCATGGTCCCTGAATTTCACTTCTAGGCAAAGGCAATGATTTCCAAAGAAGAATGGAAAAAAAAAAATGGTTTGGCATTCTTAAAAACTCATATTCAGAAAGTTCACTTTTCTGGCACCTTTTTTACATAAGTGAAAATCTTACAGTGAAAATGAACTAACATCAGGAAATTAATGTACGATTTTCCCTTCTCCTTTGCTCCTATGTATCACCTGACTATACGTGTGGTCTTTTAGCTCAGCTTCAACTCTGAGCAGGCTCTCTCACAAGTCACGCTGAGGCACCGAAAACGTGGGGTGAGGAGCCCGTCCATTTTAAAGCATCCTCTCCTCCACACGTGAAATCCCTTCCAACGACATAGTTACAGGAGAGCCTGCAGCCTCCTTACCCTTTTCATGGAATGTCACATCCCACAGGAATGTCATAATGGGCTGAGAGTTCAATAGAAATTTGGCCGCTTTAGCTTTTTCTTCTAGCGTTCCACAACTTCTTACATGGCATCTTATAGAAGGTGACTATTATTGAAGAAATATATATTATTCTTTAAAATGCATACCAAAAGCATGAAGAAAAAAAAAATCACCTGAGAATGTCCTTTTCCTCAGAAATATGGATCCAGATCTATTTTAAAGCGAGCGGTAAAATGGCTTTGTAATTCATGAAAACATCTTTTTCCCCCCTCTCGCCTGAGGGATATCATTTGTTTTAATGAGCAGATAAAATATTACAGCGCTTTTAAATCACGACTCAAAGCATTTCTACCGTAAGTGATCACACCCAATGCTTAAAATAGGGCTCATGATAAGAACGTAAAGGAAAATCATTTTATAAGCAACTGGAAACAATAATTTCTGTCTGCTAGAAAATCAGACAATAGATTAAAAGAGAATGCTGAGATCAGTTGGAAAAGAACTAAAAACATGCAATTATTTAATACATGGCCAATTGTAGTTTGTTTGGCTCCATAATGAACCTTTATTATATTTAAGTGAATTACCTAAATAAGATGGAAAACAGTATTTTAACTGTAAAACCAAGAAAAAAATCTTTTAAAATATCTTACAAACTATGTCCCTTTAAAGAACATTTTCCTTAAATACTCAACTTACAATGACTTTTTGCAAAGGTGATCTGTTATCCAATGACCGAATTTTGGAATGGACATGGTCAAGATTCCAAGTCAATACTGCAGCACAATGACAAATATTCTAACACTAAACTGATTAAAATGAAAGATCATAACCTCAAACACACAAACATACTCTCACACATGACATCTTTGAATTTCAGCGAGCTTTTTACCAGATTTGTAGTTAGTTTAAAATCTGAAAGTCAACATGAATCCTGGCCTGATAAACACCCCTATAAAATAAGCCACGTCAGAGTGATACAATTAGAAAAGCCCATTTCTGTTGGAAACATCCCACATACGTTAGATGGCAGTCTAAGCTGAGGATCTGGAACTACGGTTACAAGGTAGTGAACACTAGGTTAGATAACTGCTTAAAAGCTTACATTAAGGCAAATAAATGCTGATTTGCTAGAAAGCAATTATTAAAACGTCTCTTGTTTACCTAAAGGAGAATAGGGCTTTCTTTTTCCAGTGCAGCCAGATTTTCTTACTTTTGAACACATGAGCCTGGTCAATAGTGTACAATCACTCCCGAGGCTGTTACTTTGGCCTGGCTAAAGCCCGTCTGGGCCTCAGGAACCCTGCAGGGTGATGGAAGGGTGAGGAGCATGCTGAGAAACGGGACAGGCAGCCTCTCCCCCTGCCCCCTGCCCTCGCCCAGTGCACCAAGACAGACTGTGGGCAAAGCATTTGTGGCAAGTCAGCATCTTGGTTCTACTGTATCCTGAAAACAAAACTAAGTGCTTGTCTTTTCTTTGGGGGGGGTCACAGAGAACCACACCAATGTCCCGGAGGGGGGCTTTTCTGGAGAAGAGAAGGTCATCAGTCCCGTGCCAAGATTCCGAGTTCTGTTGGCAACACACTGGGCCTTTCTCCTGGGTCTGGTCTGCATGGCCAGCCAGGGAGGAATTGCATCAGCATCATGAACACAGTGAACGGGTGGCTCTTGTCCAGGGAGGCCCATCTCGGGCCTGGCTACATGGCCTCGGGGCCTGGTGGCAGTTTGAAGAGTCTGGCTGCAGACACGAGCTTGCTTATGTGTCTCTCCTCTGTGATGCCAGCCTCCTGAAGGCAAGTGTGGGACAGAGAAGGCACTTGGCCCAGGGTGCTAAAGCCCGCCTCATAGAGGGCACTGGCATACATGGGCAGACCGATGGAAACCAGCCAATCCGACACGGACGACACGCAGCCAGGAGACAGCGGCTTCCTGCAGATTTCTGTGAGTCCACCGCTTGGGATCTAGGAAAACAGAGAAAGCGATTTCAGCAGGATTTGACCGGTGCCACTGGAGAGCTCTGTCTTCTCTGCCTAAGAGGAGGGCTACTGAAATCTTACATTTAATACTACACTATCAGAAAGGGATAATACCATGAGATGTCAAAGCATCGAGAATTCTTTCTTGGCTTCTCAAGGTGAGACAAATCCTCAAGAAAGTGTCTGAGGTCCCAGAAGGTACTTGGAATTAGATCTAACCCCAATTATGTGTGGAAGTCTCCGAACTGTCACCATTTATGTTTCTGGCTATTTTGTCTCATGGTTGGTCACACTCTTCAATCAGTGATCCCTATAGTGACCAAAGAAGCAAACCTATGTGATAGTGTGAAAAAATAAGATACCCAGAAAAGCAATGATACTCATATAAAGTAGATTTTCTTCTGTATTTTGAATCTACATTAACATCCAGAAAATTAAGCATTTATTAAATTAAGCATTAATTAAACTTAATCAATACAATTATAAAGAATTAGAAATACAATAATAAATGTTGGCTAGGGCAGGGAAATGGACATTGATACTTGACTTCTGTGAAGGCCAAGTGAGATTCCTCTCAGAAAGGCAATTTACCACCAAATGTGCAAATCTTTGAGATTTTCTGGAATCTTAATGAAGCAAATCCTCTTGAAGGACTGTATCCTCAGAAATTAGTCAACAAAGTCTATAGAATTTATTAACCAAGACATTCTTCACTCAATTATTTAAAATAAAAGTTTGGAAAAAAAATCTAAAAGTCTTAACAATATGGAATTGGCTGAACTAAGACACACCTACCAGAACACTTTGAAATATGAACAATATAAAAAATTTTTCAGTAACAAAGAAATAGGTTCACAATCTGATAACTGAAAACATTAAAGTTTCCAAACTGTACATGTACTATTATACACATGCAGAGAAATAACTAAATGGATTTTTTTCCCCCCCCCAGTGCTGGGATTATGGATAATTTTCATCTTTTTCTTTCAAAACTGTATTTTTAAAACTCTGCAGGCTGAATATATATTACTTTCCCCCCCGGTGTCTCCCTTTGATATCTTATAAGGAACCCTGGGCTACTCAGTGGCTGCCAGCATGCCCATCATTAAGCCCTACAACTGAATGGACTTCAGAAATCTGGAAGAGAGGGGCCCTGAACCGCGGGCTGCTCACCGCCATGCGGTGCTGCTTCCGAAGCAGCTTGACACGAATCTGGTCCATGTTGGTGGCGACATCCCTTTCCGGCTGGTCTAAGTCTTCTGCGTACCTCTGTACCAGGGCCTCAGGAATCCCACAGCGGCCGTGCTGCGAGCAAGAAGAGAAATCTCTTAGCAAGGGTTGCGAGGATCTTTTTCTTTCTCCAAGAACAGCAAACATAAGGTAGGATAAGACATTTAGCTACCAGAAAGTAGGACCAACAGTTTAAATTTGAAGTGAATATATTTTCCTTAGTATCAGGACAACTATTTTAGAGAGAATATTTTACATCTTTATCTTTTAGGTAGTGATGAGCTCTGGAAATATGTCCTGAAAGATGGTTAAAGTAGAACACAATCACCCTCCATTGTGGGGTCCAAGGTCCTCACCACACTCTATGTGATCATTTTGCAACAGGCTACTGAAGGGCAAACTTGTGCTCTATAGATCATCTACTGTTGGTCCCTCAGCTACAAAGAATTATACTAGGCCAGCATTTACTGTACAGTAGAATTCCCACTACTTTCCACTCAAAGGGATTCATTCACTAAATATTAAGAAGGCAGAGGAGGAGTATTTTATCATAAGGCATTCAAGGTCATAAGGCACTTATAACAAAGACTCTCAGGAATGCATTAGAACAATTCATGCATTTTTGGACTAACATACAACTACATCTATTTTCATGCATTTGTCTTCAAAGTTATTTTGATATTGGTAGGTCTACTCTGGGCTTCCCCAGTGGCTCAGAGGTAAGGATCCTCCTGCAATGCTGGAGACTCAGGTTCGATCCCTGGGTGGGGAAGATCCCCTGGAGCTGGAAATGGCAACCCACTCCAGTGTTCCTGCGGATAGATTCCTGCGGAAAATTCCACGGATAGAGGAGCTTGGCCGGCTATAGTCCACAGTGTCTCAAAGAGTTGAAAAGGACTAAGCGACTGAGCGTACAAACACACAGTTCTACGTATTTGTTTGTGTTTTTTGCAAATGAGAAGTGAGCTTTCATTATAGTTCTCAATGTTTTTGGTACAATGGGGTATTTTATATAGTCTTTTATCCCCAGTTACCCATACAGATATCAGACAGTATAATTATTACATCTGAATGATGCTAAGTAGCTTCAGTCATGTCCAACTCTTTGCGACCCCATGGGACTGGGGCCCATCAGGCTCCTCTGTCCATGGGATTCTTCAGGTAAGAATACTGGAGTGGGTTGCCATTTCCTTCTCTAGGAGATCTGCCTGACCCAGGGGTCAAACCTGCATCTCTTTTATCTTCTGCACTGGCAGGCGGGTTCTTTACCAGGAGTGTCACCTGGGAAGTCCCATTTACATCTGAATAGGGCTCCACAGCTTTCAAAGTAGGTTTACATTTATCTTATTAACATTTGCTCCTATTAACACTTTTAAGAGGTACTTAGGAAGGTTATTATTAATTCAATTTTACATCCAATGAAAGGAAATGGGGATTTGTTAAAATTTAAATACAAAGATGTTGAGTAATACATGGAAACCGGAGCTTTGTTTCAGGACGGGTTCTAGTAATGACTGATATAGTTCTCCTGGCAAAGAACAGTTGGCCAAAATTAAATACAAACAAGTGAAGAAGAGAAGGGAAAGAAGAAAGCCCCCGAGGCCGTGTTTGCATTTAATCTGGGCACTGCGCTCCCCGTTCATCTGAACGCCCAGCGCGGTGTGACAAGGGCCCCCTGCCCCGCCACTGTCTGCCACCAGCTGCCGCCGAGGGCAATGTTCCCGCCTGGCACCCCCAACTTACGGGGCTGGGGGGCCAGGGTCTCGGCTACCTTATCAGAATAGGGCTCCTCGGTGAGATCAATGCCTTCCGCCCGCAGCTTGTTCTCGGTCAGCATCTCCAGGTCCAGCCCGCGGGCGCAGGAGACCTTCCTGGCCAGCGCGGGCCCGAGCCGCACGCCGTGCTCCTGGAGGCTGGCGCTCTCGGGCAGCTCTGACAGCCAGGGTGGTGGCCGGGTGCTGGGCGGGCTGCCCGGCTCCGGCCCTGGGGGAGGCCTGGCCACCACCGCCGCCGGGGGACAGTCGCTGGGGCCGCCGGGGCTGCCCTTTTTAAGCGGCAGGCCCGGTGCGTCAGGTATGGGGGCACTGGGGAGACCAGGAGGGACAGGATGCAGCCCGTTGGCGAGGCGCTCCCTGCTCTTCTTGGCGGGAACGGGCGGAGGCTGGACGGGAGGTTTGGCCTGCGTTCTGGCCTCGGGGCCCCTCTGCTCAGCATCCAGGCCTTCTTTGGTGCCCACGGGGTGATGTGTTCCTTCGAAATCGAGTCCTTTCCTGTGACCCTCCAGAGGCGTCCGTGTTAAACTGGGTTTAACGGCAGGCAGGTGGGCGTCAAAGGTTTTGGGCAAACACGGAGGGGGGGATGTACCCCGTGAAAAAGGCCCCATCGGGACATCCAGTTTCTTAGTAGTCGTTTTCTGAGGTTCAGAAAATCTCTTGCTTTGGGTCAGTAGCAATGCATTGTCAACAGCAGAATCTCGTTTGGGGCTTGGAACCTTTGTGACGGAGGGGGCTGTCTTTTGTGGCACTTCAGGTACAGTCTGAGGGGAGGGTTCTGTCACCTCGCCAGGCACATCTTTCTCGGGCTCTCCTTGAAGGTCGTCCAGGGAGTGGGACCGGGGCCAAGTCTCCACAGTCTGGGGGCCCTCCAGGGTCTCACAGCTCCGGCAGATGGAAACGGGGAGACTCCTTCGGTTTTTATTCAAATCAGTCACACACGGGGGATCACAGCTCTTGGAGGCGAGAGGGGTGAGACCACCGCCCAGCCTCCCCTCCCCTCCCTGCTTCAGAGCGTCCACTGACTTCGTCAAAGGCAAGGTTGGGTAGTTGCCCAGCTGGTTCCTGTTGAAAGACTTCAGGCTGGACTCGGTTGATGACTTGGCAGAGAGGCCGGTTTTCCGAGCCTTGCCTACAAGGCAAGGAGAGGTTTTTTACAATCGCATCTTAAAATGCGAATCAATCAAATTGATGTAAAAGGTGCGCGAATGTTATTGAAATCTCCAACTCCCATATCCCGCTGTGGAATTACACTAAGGACATAATATCACCACTGGTGATGTAGGGCTACTGTGGTTCCATTTTTATTTTTTAGAAAGAATTCTTAAGTCTTATTAAAGGACTCGGGGAAATGAAAGTTAATTGAGTTATGTGGAAAGAAAATATGCTGTGTCAGGCCATAAAATAAATCTAGGCCTAATGTCTGTTCGTAGCTGTAGTTAGTGTGGAAGAAGATATATCCACATCCCACTAAGGAACCACACTGATGGAATTTCTGATTAGAGTACCGTTTCCTAAGACCACGGTTGCAAAGGGAACAGGTTCTTTACAGAGGAGAATCTCCAACCTCCGGGATCAAAGGCCCCATAATTTGAGGTGGAGTTGATGTAATAATAACAGAAATAAAGTGTGCAATAAATGTCATGTGCTTGAATCACCCCCAAACCATCCCCCCTCCATCCTCATCCATGGAAAAACTGCCTTCCATGAAACTGGTCCCTGGTGCCAAAAAAGGTAGGGGACCATTGCTTTAAATGGTATCCCACCAAGGTTCCCTGGTGACCACTGAACCCTCAAAACTTCTTTCAAGCCCTCACTGCTTTGTGCTTTGTTCAAGCGTGTAAAATAAATGTATCCTGCAAACCGTCAGCCAATCCTGGTAACAACGAGTAAACAAGTAAACAAGCTTAGGTGAGCCTACTGCCAGAGAGTCCGTAAGATACCAGTACGGTTCTGATAACCACTGAAGCAACAGACCTCATTAAAGTAAACTGTCAGGCTGATAACTAAACTTATCAACCAGTCAGTCTACTTACTTAACAATTGTTGACTGATGCTAACTGCTGCTTCTGCTTGATGAACAGAGTAACACTGACTGCATCTGATCCCAGACCACTTAAGACTCCCTTTCTGTTTGAGACAAGTAAGCCACCTGGAATTTCCTATGAATACCTCTGGGCTGTTAGGACAGGGAAACAACGAACAAGACTCACGGCCCTCGAATGGTCCTCTCCCTTGATATTGCTCTGTTCCTCGGTCATGCAGCTGAGGCATTTAAGATACCGCTGCTCGTGTGGCCCTGACGGATGGTCTGCCTGGTAAATTGTTTTCCTTATGGACCTAATAGTTCCCAACACTCAAATGTTGGTTTTTATTGCGAAAAGGAAAGGACATAGGAGACACACAATTTCAGTTTTATGGCTGCAGGTATTTTAGACGGAATTTATTCACCTCACACTGCAGTCAGCAGAGGCTAACTGGAAAGGAGAACGGTGAAGAGGTCAGAAAGGAAAAGATTAGCACGGCGTTCATAATGGTAAGAGAATCGTCTTTATTCAGAACATCGTACTTTTGGAATCAGTGATTTTCAAAGCAGGAGGATCCTTTGTAATGACACTTCACTTATAACCCAGAGCAAAGTTGAAGTGTGGAGGTCACTCAAGGCTGAGGCTCAGGCCCTCTACCGTGGCCAGCATCATTCACTCCACCAAGCACCCCCTCCAGGCCTCTGAGGCTTGCAGGATCCCAAAGATCATAGATAATCAGGGCTTCAAGCAGCATGAGCTCCCGAACCCGAAGTTACAAACTGCCCAAGAGGCACTGCTGCTGTAAACCCAGCGTTTCCTTCTCCACTCAATGAAAACACTTTCCTAGTAAAACCAAAACAAAATCGTGCAGCTTGGTTTCATATGTGAAAAAACAAAGGTTGGGAGAGGTAAAATATCCTTAACTATTTTGTGGATAAAGCAGAAAAGTTGGGGGTGGGGGGGAAATGTCAAAATCTAGTTTGAAAACATCTTACTTTCAAAGTGCTTAGTTGGTTTGAATTGTGGACTTCCAGCAATTTCCTATCTACACTGAATACTGTTACTCTGCTTTTCAAAGTGAAATTGATGGTTGATCCTATTGGTCCAAAGCCTGTTTACTGAATGTCTTTTATGTGCATTAAACTATGGAGGATATAAGTAAACCACTGATTCAAACTGAGTCCATCATTTGTAGCAGGTATGGGACCTACTCCAACTGAAAATACACATTCTCCAATAACTTCCAAAAACTAGACCATGAGGATGGCTGGCCTAATGTGTGAAGTTTAGGGCAACATAACTCTGAGCCCCTAGTGATGCATGCTATCTGAGTGGGAAGGAAGTACCATATTAGATGTGGGTAATTATAGTCTTTCTGTCTAGCTGGTCTGAAATTTTGAGATTTTTTTTTTAACAAAAATGTAATCTTTAAGATTTAATCATGCACCCTTCATTCAGAGATCTAGCTTTCATAACAATGAAGCAATATTTAAATAAAGTCAGACTTTTCTCATTATTTTAGTATGAATTTAGATATTTTCCTACTGTAATGATGATACTGCTGGCATGATGTATGTTTATGGAAGGAGTCATTCTGCTACTGCGGCCCCCAATCTGAACGTCCAGGGCCAGCCCTGCTTAGGTTTACTGTATACTTAAGAAGAAAAACTGAGGTGATGGATGGTAATGATCTAAAGAAACCAAACTTTCATGCCCTAGTTTTGTAACAATGTTCTCAGCCGGGCTTCTTGAAATTCTCATACTGAAATGAGAGACTCATGAACGACAATCCTAAGCCCTAGGATATTCCTGCTCCTCAGAACAAATAAGCAAACAAATAAGCAAAGAGATCTTTTATGGTATATGTTGCCTTTTTCCTTGTTCCCCAAATAGGTCCACCTTCTTTCATCCATTGATTTGTGAAGGTACTTATGATAACATATACAAACTAAATCCCTTCTGGCTTGGAAGTTCACCTAAGCCCAGATACCCTTGGCTGATGTATGATGACATTAAGTAGTTAAGAGTTTGGACTTGAAAATGCTTACAGTATTGGAAAATCAGGTCTAAAATATTGTTTACCATTCGGACTTCCCTGGCAGTTAAGTGGTTAAGACTCTGCCTTCCAATGCATGGGGCTCAGGTTCCATTATTAGTCCGGGAACTAAGCTCCCACATGCTGTGTGGTGTGGCAAAAAAAAAAAAAAGTCTACCACTGACTGTGAGATGATTATGAGCCAGAGAAGAGAACAAGAGCTTCAGTTAATATTCAATTTCTCTTTAGCATCGTCACTTATAAAATATGCACTACAGGATTTGAGTGGTAATTAGCAAATTGTATACACATCTAGCCCACTGCCTCATTCATAATCAGTGCTTACAAAATGCTAGGTATTTTTTTATATATTACTACTTTGTTTAAGTCCCAGAACAAGCTATAAAAGAGAAACTCATATTAATGATTTCAGAGGTAAGGGCAAAGGATTGCTGGAGATGTAATTTGACCAAAGTCTTTGGCTATGCACTCCATGTCTCCCCACTCTAAACCCCCTTGACTTTTTTCATGGTCCAGAGGGAGGGCTAACCTCCGAGAGTGGCAAGACAATGGAAGTTTGGGGTCGCTTTCTCTAACACACAAGTTTAAGCTCTTCCCAGTTAGGTGCTACTGCAGGATGGAAGAGTAACTAATGAAAAGATCTCTCTACTCCTCTCTCAGTATCATCCATTGCCTAGGTTCTTGAGAGATGTTCTTCCAGCCTAAGGATCTGAATCAAGCACCAGTTGCCCTGGAAAAGCTCCTCTCCCTATTTGTAGTTTTCTCAAAAGCAATGGCTCAGGCTGAGGAAGAAATACAGTCATTAGCCAAAGCACAGACACCAAGAAATGGCCTAGAAGGCTTGCGTATGACCATGCAGTTATGATTATCTGTGCTGACAGTACCGTTTTCCAAGTTCTCACTGCTTTCATAGCATCCTGAGTCTCGTGGAGAGCATCCACTCAAGCCCTGGCTGTCAACAAGCAGCTTCTCCTGGGATCCAGACTGGTCGCTATTACCTAGAAAAGATGAACACACGGCATGGGATTGTAAGGGGAATGAAAAGCAGTTTTCAAATCCATCGCATCTCAATTTTATCCTCAGTCCTCACCATACATTTTTGAAGACTTAGATTGTGGAAGAAAACAAATTAAATGAGTGAGATCAGGATGTTTTCTTTTCAAATCAAGTATCACGGGACTATAAGGCTGGAGAGAGAGCACAGAGTTGAAATACATCAATACCTTCTAAGTCACTCAGAGGATAACTGGCCTCAGGTCAACCAGGGAAAGGAGAAATTCAGAGCATCATATCAAAAGTGGGGGAAAAGCAACCACAGTCCTTTCTGAGCACTGATACCACCAAGCAGGAGCAGAAAGTGAATGAATGGCCTTTTCACAAGGAGGAATTGGGCTGTATGCTTTGTAGAGATCTAGAGGATTTGTGTTTCAATTTATTTGTTCCCACCTTTCCAAGTTTGGGAGCTGATATAAAAGTGAGACCTCCCTAGTAGAACAGTGGAGTAAGAATCCGCCTGCCACTTCAGGAGACACGAGTTCGATCCCTGGCCTGGGAGGATCCCACATGTTGTGCAGCAACTAAGCCCCTGCCCTACAACTACTAAAGCCCGTGGGCCGAGAACCTGTGCTCTGCAACGAGAGAAGCCACCACAATGAGCAGCCCACACACAACAGAGAGTGGGCCACGCTCGCTAGAAACTAGAGAAAGCCCACACACAGCAATGACGATTCGCCACAGCCAATAAATAAATACAAGTATTTTTTTTTTTTAAAGTTCTCGGCTGAGAATTTTACAAGCCGATTGTTAAACACAGCCATTATTAAAAATTAAGCTTTGTAAACTGTATTTTTAACAAATGTACTAAAAGTTAAGGTAATAAATCCTCAAAACTCCTCAAAAAAAAAAAATTCTCAGTTTTTTTTAAAAAAAGGGAGTGTCAAAGGAACCATCAAATTTCTTTAGCATTAGGAGCATGAACCTTAACCCCCTGTGACATGTGCTGGCTCTTATCATAAAGGCAGCAAGGCTGCCATAAAGGGGGCTCAAACCCCCAAGCCCATGAGGAGTGAGTGAGTCAAGTCGCTCAGTCATGCCCGACTCTTTGCGACCCCATGGACTGTAGCCTACCAGGCTGCTCCATCCATGGAATTTTCCAAGCAAGAGTACTGGAGTGGGTTGTCATTTCCTCCTTCAGAGGATCTTCCCCACCCAGCGATCGAACCCAGGTTTCCTGCATCGCAGGCAGACGCTTTTACCATTTGAGCCAGCAGGGAGGTTAGCCCATGAGAGGCCAGGCGCAAATCCTTTTGCGACGAATAGGTTGGAGGGTTTTTCCTCCTTTTTCCTTTTCCCTTTGTCTTGGGTTAGCATTTCTATTCCCGCCCACAAAAGGTGTGACAGGAAAAGCTGAAAACATCCTCCAACTTGGAAACTGAGCACAGAATACCCTTAAGGTGGGTGCCGGAAGGCTGGATGTCGTCATCCTAAGGAATCCTTCTAGAGAGAAGCACCAGATGATTTCTGCTGAAAGTCAGCCTATAGCAAATCACATGGGCCTTCATCACCCGAGCCATGCAGCTCTGTACATTCTATAAATGGCACAGCTGACTTTATGGAGGTTCAGGGATACAAGGAGATCGTCTTTCAATCATAAGGTGGACTAAATGCTTGGTCCATAAAACAGGAAACAAAGCATTTTCTACATAAAGTAAGTAGTTGATGATGAATGGCTTTATTTTTCTCTTCACTTGCCCTCCTCCATCTCTCTCTCTCTTACAGACACAAAACCAGAAATCTGATGTCTCTTCTCATCATTAAAAAAAAGTTGTGGGAAGACCGAGGGCTGCCACATACACACCAGCTGTTCCTACTGTCCACTGACCACTTCCTGTTTGTGTTTCTCACAAGGAAAGCATTTTATAATAGGAATCTTGGCAGAGAAGTCCTTGAATTAGAGCACCAAAATAAGAAGTGTTATTTTAAAAGTGATTAATAAAAAAGTAACTAGTTGGTAGCACAAGAGCAAACCCTTTCCCCTCCCCCACACTGAAAGTGGAACATTCTAGCATGGTGTCCTCACTGTGTGGAAGAGCCTGCGGGTTTGGCCTAGCCTCTGTTCTAGCCTAGCATGTTATTTAGGAAAATGACACTTGTAAAATGTGGGCTTTGAGCTATCAGTTACAACCCAGGAGGAGGAATCAATGCAGTTTGTCCCTGGCGAGACAGGTCAGTGCATTGCAGCGGCCAAAACAGACTCCAAAGTGCTGACCGACAGGAATGAAACAGAAAAGTTGTCCGCATCATTGCAGGAAAATGAGGACTGTGCCTGCAACTTTGGGGATGCCAGCCTACCGCACAGCGGCATAATAACCTGAAGTTATTACGGGGAGCGAACGCGTCCTTTGCAGTGCCTGAAAGTGGCAAATCAGTTTATAAAATCAGGAGACATATGTCAAGGAGATAGAGCCATCTTCTTTCTCAAGGAGATAGAGCCACTTTCTTCCTGAAGGATCCAATCAGCAGCTACTTGTAAAAATCCCACTATCAAATTTAGCAAAATGTCCTAAAACTAAAAGCCAGTGTTTCCCAGGCAGGTTGTCCTTCCTTAGGGAGAAGGAAGGGGAGGGGTATCTCTTAGAGGGACTGCAAGTCAAGGCCTTTTCCTCTCCCCACACTCACTAACATTAATGCCAAGGCACAAAGGAAGAAAAAAGTGAGCTAGACCCATGAACATTCTCACAGTCAAATGAGAATGAAGCTCTGGTCTTGGGGCTAAAACTTCATTTGGACATGACCTGAATTTGGACTAAAGCTTTCCTCCATCTCAACACACACACACACACACACACACACACACACACACACACACACACACACACACGAAGGAAAAACATGCTAAGACATTCTGATGAAGCATCCAAACATCAAAAGGTACTTATGCCCTGAGGACACGTGCCATTTTTCTGGAGGGTAGTTCTCTTGGGAAAAGAATGGAATTGTTGGATAGCAGGCCTTCCAATGGGCTTGCAAATTTATGTCTTTAAAAAGTAAGGATTGAAGTACAACAAAATGTTAACTTTAGTTGGATTTAGGCAGTGGATATGTGGATTTGTTTTATTTTTCTCTGTACTTTCCCACCTACTTGACATAATTCCTAAAGACAATTCTTATGAAAATGATTTTCTTAAAAGACAGCTTTCATTTGGCAGATCAAGGAGAATGGGTTTGGGATCAGCGGGAGGAATTGCTCTGGCACAATGAGAGTCTTTTCTGAATGGAGGAACCCTGTGGGAAGGCTGGCATTCCCCATGCTCAGATGCAGTGAGAGAAGCTGGACCCGCCTGACTGCCAAACAACGATGCAGGTGTGTCTCTTGCTCCTGTGGCAGCTGAGATGAAAGATGAATGAGACATCTCAGATCTCAGCAGATCTCTGGATCTGTCAACTCTGACAGAAACTGATGTGTTCCTTTAAGCTATCAGTTACTTAGCATACTTCTAAAACACAAGGAATTTAGAACTGCTCAATGTATAATCTTCTCATCCTAGGATAATCCTGGATCCAGGCTCTCGGTGCTCACTGGCACCCTTGAGTCCGCTAAAGCCTTTATTTTAGAACCGCTAAAAATAAGTACCACATTATATATGAAGGATGTTCTAAACAGTGGCACAGTACAGATTCAAAATGAGATTGATGAAGAAGCAGTGAGGCTTCCTTAGACTGCTGGGTGGGCATCATGACAGGCAAAGATCCCCTTACCTGTAACATATCCCTGGGGCGGATCTCAGGACATGATCCCAGGAAGGCAAGGAGCCCCCGCCCTTGAGACAGACCCTGCCTTATATACTCAGAATGCAGCTTTGCTCCTTCTGTTTGAATGCTAGAGGAAACATAACGGGTGGGGCTTATCAACCAGCTGCTCTCAGTGGCTGGGGAACAGCAAATGAACTATTTTATAGAGCAGATGTGGTCCAGGAGACTGGATAATTAAACATTAATTGATATTAATATAGCTGGTCAGCCTCACCAGGCACTGGGCCAGGCTCTGACACAACTTGGTCACAGGACAACCCCTACCCATGGTGTCTCCTGGGAAACTCCAATCCTAAAGAGACCTGGCTACAAATTGATATTAACTACGGAACACAATCCCCTCCAAATCTATCCCTGAAGGCAGCGTGTTTATCTCAGGTTCAGACACCTATTTGACGGTGTGTCATCAGTTAATTTAGAGGGACAACCTATTAATCAGAAGTGAATTTAGCTGCACTGAGACACTTACTTCTGCGTCTCTTGAGCCTGGTACATTCAGTAATGCACAATTTTTTTCCCACCATTAACCATGGGTTTGGTGTGTCTTTTAGCAATGGAAATGCTATTAGCTACTGATATCCCTGAAGCAGAGCATACGAAAGAAAATACATTTGAATTCAATCACTGGAAAGGATGCTTCCCCCTTCATGATGAATAATCTCAGGAATATTTTTGATGTCAGACTGAAGAATAAAGAGCAAGATAAGACTGAGTTAATGGAGCAAAGGATACAGTGTATTCAAATAGACTACATAAAAGCTGTGAGCTCACTGAATTCTGTTCATGGGCTGTAAAAATGAGCCATCATTTTGGCTGAGAAATCACAATATGGAATTCTCTGCTCTACATATTCACTCAAGATGATTCCCTGCTTCTTTAATGCAAGCTGATGAATTTCATTTATTCATTAACTAACTCTTTCAATCAGAAAACAACTCCTCATGTGCTTTGAGAAGTAATTAACCCTTGGCAGGACAGGATACCCCAAGTTTGGCAGTCACATTTGCACCTGGGTATCTTAACGACCTCCTAAAGGCTGTATATCCCACTAACTCGCAAGGTGGCGTGAACTATGTGTCTTAAGAAAAAAAAAAAAAGTCCAAAATAAGAAAGAAAATTACAATTCAATTCTCAGTGAAAAAGTACTGGGTAGTAAGGTTTTCTTTTGCCCCTTCATTGGCATTGGGAATCTATGTTTTTGTGCTGTTTGACATAATACAAAATTGACCTTGGCTTTGGAAAAGAGTAGGGCTTCCCTGGTGGCTCAGATGGTAAGGAATCAGCTTGCAATGCAGCAGACCTTGGGTTCGATCCCTGGGTCAGGAAGATCCCCTGGAGAAGAAAATGGCAACCCACTCCTGTAGTCTTGCCTGGAACATTCCACAGACAGAGGAGCCCGGCGGGCTACAATCTGTGGGGTCATAAAGAGTTGGACACGACTCAGTGACCAACACTTTCACATTTTGGAAAGAGCAAGATCAAATGAGGGACTCCGGGGACCTAAGCACATGGTAACAGCTTATGGGATGCCTCCTGGTGGCCTGAGAATGGGATGGATCTCACTGAACACGTCTGTGCTGTGAGGGACTTACTGTCATATTCCTGTAACAGCTCCACTGCCGTCAAGAGAACAGCTCTGTGCTCTGGGTCCCTGATATTTAACTCGTCCAAGTCCTCCTCCTCCAGGAGCTTAAAGGTGTCCAGATCTTCATAGCCATTGAACAGGAAAGTGGGCATGTGCTCCTGGGAGGGACACAGACAGAGGAGAGTCAGCAGCTCAGCCACGTGGCCCACGACCAACAACCAGTCTCAAACCCCTAAACGCTTTTTCCATAGTCACTTTTATGCTAATTCAAAAATTAATAATATCTTTCTAACAGTCTGTACCCCCTAGTTCTACAGCTCAGTGGGCAAGTGGGGCACTTCACTAACCATGGGTTAAGAAGGTGGACACTCAAAGCTGAGGTGGACTCCACTGGCCTGCATTTTAATTGTGCCCTTGCTGTGAGCTGATGCCTCCAATGCCACCCAGCGTGGGTGGAGGAGACACCTCTTTCATCTGGAGACACTGAAATCCAGCTCAGAGAGACCTGTGACTTCCCCAGGAGCAAGATAGCTTTGCAAGGAGGAAATAGGTCACACCATGTAGACCCGCCCTACTAGATGCTGGGGGTAATGGTGGGGGTGGGGGTGGGGGTGGGCAGGGACAATCCTCAAGACCTCTGTGAGGCCAATCAGGATGCTAGGAGCTTGTGCTTACTGCCTTTCCTGGTAGTGGCTTGAAGCTCACAGCTCTTTGAAAGTTGCTCTTTGGACTAGGAGGTAATTTCAACCTGGAGTTTACGCTATCACCCTCAAGGGAGGCCAAGGATAGTATTATGGTGCTGGTAAGACTACTTCTATAGGATAATGGTACTCATCATGGACATGGGTTGTCCTTCTTGGATGACACAGACCACCCCACGGTTCCCTGAAGGTGCCCTTGCTTGCTTAGTTTAGGAGAAGGTAACGTGGGGTTGGGGGCCAGAACAGGACGGAACTGACTTTGAGGTTGATCCGATCCAGCAGGTCCTCCACCGACTTGGGCTGGGGGGGTCTCCCTTTCCTCCTCCTCCTGGTGGCACGCTTGGGCTTCTCCTCTTCCTCGTTGAGCACATCCACGTAGATGAATTTGAACGTGCCCACCTTGTTGTTCAGCAGGCCCATCCAGGTGCCCATGGGGGGTTTGCTGATTATATCAATGATGTCTCCTTTCTGTGGCCCAGGGAAGAAGGATCTTTCCATCAGGTACATTTCCAAGCATGAACCATCAATCCATCAGAAGTGTCAACCATGCGATGTGAAGACACTATGAAGACTAGAATCAGGGCTCCACAAGTCACCTGATGTGACTGGGAGTCTGGCAGAGACCACAGAGAGAACTCCTGATTCTGCAGGATCCCATGGAGGGCCAAGATCCCATCCCCTCCACCATCCTGCCCCAGAGGATGGTGGCTCAAGGTATCCACCAGGGCTCATGGCTGGGTGGACATCTGGCTCTCTGAATGCTGTGCCCTCACCCAGAGAGCTCCTACTTCTTGGAGAAAAAATTCCCACCAATCAGAGGTCAGTGGTAACCCCTGGTCTATACTCGCTTCATACATTTTGTGAAATCCCATCTGCTCCGTAAGGATGTCACTGATCACGTAAGAGAAGTCAGTCATGTCCTTTCAGTTGGCCAAAGCACTGAGACTGGAAGGGAAGGGCAGTGGGAATTCTAGAGGGAAGCTGGGGTCAGAGGACAGGGCCAGCATGGTGATAAGACAGAACTAACACAAGACCCGCCTCTATCCCCAAAGGCTGGCTAGTTCTCTGGTTTTTCACTGAAGAAGAGACCAATTTATCAAAGGAGCAGGTGTGCTGACCAGTATGCACCACAAGAGCCCAGCATTCAATACAAAGGAGACGAGAACAGCTCCTAAAGCCACAAGGCACCCGGGCTGACCGCTCTGAGGTCAAGTAAATACACACCTTGAGCTTGAGCGAGTCCGTGTCGTAGGGGCTGGGCGTGAAGTCGGTGTGCACCCTGGCGCGCCCACAGAACGGGCCCCGGTACGGGAGCTCCTCGTCATCACCATCTTCCGACTTGACACTCTCCCTATTGCTGGTCGAGGAATCAGTGGTGCTCACGGTCTGACCACCTGCAGGGAAAACACGCAGAACATGGGTCAACGCAGATTTCCCGCACAGCCAAGCTGGAGACTCTGATAGCATCTTAGACTTGGAAGGTAGGGGCCAGAGGAAAGCAGTCATGAGCCACAGCCCCGTCAGGACTTGAGCAGAGGCCAGGAGACGATCTGCATTTTCCTGAGTGTTCTCCCTAACCGAGCCCCTCATTGGAGAGGGGACTCCAGCAAGTTATCTTTATGACCAGGGAAGCCAGGTGACATGCAAACTCTCTGATAGAGGACACCAACCTTAACCCTCATAGCCTCCCATTTGTCAGGCATGCTGTCTTTACCCCATTTTACAGATGAGGAAGCTCAAAGAGGTCAAGTAACTTGCTCAAAGCCAAATGCTTTTTAAGTCGTGGGTTTAAATTTGGTCTCTTCCCCCATAGCGCTCAGTCAACACCACCACTGGGTTAGGAGTGGTTGAACAGTGTTTGTTTCAGAGACATTTGTCATTCTCCTCTCATCTTTTTTTTTTTTCCTGGTTCTTAATTGACTAAAATTAAGATTACTAATAAAGTTTTAATCAACATTTTGTATTCATGAAAGTTAAGAAGACATTAGCTTTCTTTGTAAAACCAGAAGAGAATTATCAGGACTTCCCAATATACCAAATGCATCAGCGATAAAGAATGTCATGTTATTGGGCTGAATTCTGCACTAAAATATTTTTTTGATTAAAGATTACCGATTGGAGAGAAGTATTTGTCTTCTCTTTTACTAAACCCCCACTAACATGATAATAAAGGGATTGGATTCACCATGACAAAGAACATGGCAGAGGGCAATGAACTGATGAGAAATGTCTACCAAAATCTCTAAGACAAAAGTGGTCAGAAGATCGCTGGTTGCTACTGCAGGTGGAGGATGAGCCCAGAGGTCAGGAAAGCAACGTGTGCCCTGCAGAACCCTGGTCATCTCCCTTTATTCTGCTCGTCATTGCCATCAGTGTTTCCCCCTTGGCTTCCTCCCTTCGGTCTCCATATCTTCCGCTAACATGCTTTCTCTCTCTCCCCTCCAACCAAAATCATTACCCTCCTGTTTATGCTATTGCTAGACATCGGCTACTAAACAAATAGGACTCTAGGGCCAGCTATTTTTCGGGTCTGTCTCTGTAACAGCACCCTAAGGCTAAGAACTTGGTCTTATTTATCTTTAAATTGCCTGAACCTGACACTCGGCAAAAGTCTGACTTAGACTCCAAGGAAATCATCTTTGACTGCAAACTGGACGTACTCATCGAGCTTTGACCGCTCAGAGAACTCCGCAGACTCTCCACAGAACCACCGGCTTTGAGCTTGGGCTTGTCCATGTGTTCGCTGTCAGGCTGAGAGGACGGAGGGGAGCCTGGCATCCCATCAAGGCCTGAATCCTGAAATGAGTTTCGACAAAATTACATTTCGTCAGAGGGGATGGGTATCTTTTTGTAATGCACAGCTGTTTAGCAATGAAATCAATCGAATTCATCTTTATACTCATGTCTGATGCTTTACCCAAAATACACCTTCTTTTTCATCGATATCCTGCTTCATCTTCAAGTTGGAGCTCACGTAACTATTAATTAAGCACTCAAAAAGTATTTTTCATGCTCAAGTAGATGTTCTTGAAAAAAAAAAATCTACCTTGGAGACAAAACATTTCGTTAAAGGCTTAGAGACTCTGCATACTCCGTAGTTCAGTAATAAAGTGTTATATAGCTCAGTCATGTCTAGCTCTTTGCAACCCCATGTACTGCAGCCCACCAGGCTTCTCTGTCCACGGAATTCTTCAGGCAAGAATACCGGAGTGGGTGGCCATTCCCTTCTCTAGAGGATCTTCTTGACCCAGGGATCGAACCTGGATATCCCACATCACAGGAATTTTTTTTTTACCAACTAAGCCACAAAGCTGGACCTCAAATGTAGATCAAATACAATCCACTAGTGATGCAGTATCCAGAAGTACTATCAGAAAATATTTTATCTATTTTTCTATTTGAAGGGAAATTTCTACACTAAAAAAAAGTGTATTCCTTGTTTTTGTTTTTAAAAAAAGAGACCAGATTTTTGTATTTCTATTTACACAAATTATTGAAATTAGCTAATAAAATACCCACTTAGGACCCAGATACACAGTTGACCCTTGAACAACACAGGACTTAGGGGTGCTGACCCGACTTGCGGTCAGCTCTCTTTATCTGTATTTCCACATTTGTGGATTCAAACAACCACAGGTTGTGTAGTACTATAGTGTTTACTACTGAAAAAAATCCACCCGTGAGCTGACCTGTGCAGTTCAAACCTGTGTTGTTCAAAGGTCAGCCATACCTCAAACATACCATTTTTCTGTCTATAATACAGTTTCCATAAGTCACCCTATGGGTTTAGTTTCATTGACTTCTATTAGTTTGTTGTAGTAAAAAGCTGTCAAGCCTCTTTCAGATCCGGATGCTGACAGCAGTGACTGAGCAGAACTTCTCATTTTTGGGGTGGCTCGGTATCCATTAATTTGGCAGGCCCTCATCTGCACATGTAACTGTAACATGCTCATTTGATTTGAAGTGCTATATAGATAGACCCTATCACATTTTTAACAGTCTGCAGTCAGAATGGTTTACTTGCCCAAACAGAACACTCTCTGTCATACTACACAGCCACGTGAGCACAAAACCATCTAAACAAAACCTGTTATTTGCATAGTGCTGAATCATCAGAAGGACTCTGAGAGATTCTGCGGGGCCCTGCAAACTTTTAAGGACAATCAAAAGCGCAGCTTCTGATCCAAAACACACTTCTGCTTTCCATTTAAGAAAAGTGAGCAAACAACCTCAGCAACAACAATAAAGAGAGGTGCATTATTAGGAAGTTACTGAAGCTGCAAAGGATGAATTCCTGAGGAGGTTGGTTTTCGTTCTTCTTTTCTGAATCATAAAATAAACCACCTACCCAATTAAAATCTTCTAAAAATTCTTCTGGAAAAAAATCTCACTTTTTGAAAAACAGCACTATGAAATATACATCTCTGATAGTGTATGTTCACAAGGCTTTTAAAAATTATTAATTTATTCATCACATTTATTGAATACCACAGGTACTATTTCAGATGCTGGGCATATAGCAGGAACAGAGCAGACAAAAATCCTTACCAGAAGAGTTGATATATTTAACTAAAAAGATGTTTTTTTAAGCCTTACAATGTTAATTTCCTTTCTCCAAAAAGCACTATAATGAGTCCTTCTTTTTTTTTGCTTATGTGAAATGACTGTTCTAAATAAACAGGAAAATAAAAATACAGGCATCTATACAGCAGTAAAGTTACAGAGAAATGCTCAAAATTACATGAAAGCTATATGCTAATGATCCACAAAGCAAAAAAAAAAAAAAAAAAAAAAAAAAAAACACAACACTAAAACCCAGGAATATGTTTACAAGAGCTTTGAGTAGATATTTCAATCTGGGGGGAAAAAATCAACTAAATAATAAGTGCTTTAAATTCATGCTTTCATTGGCATGTAGTCAGTCTCATAGAAGCAATGTGCAGTCTGCCTCATTGCTGGGTAGAAACATAGACTTTACATCACTCCCACATCCACAAGGACAAGAAATGAAAAGAATAAGGAGAACATTCAGGGAGTCTGGAGGCAGCCAGACATCCCCTGTAGGTATAACAAGCCACAGTTTCTCAACCTGGGCACTCGAGGTATTTTGCACGGTTAATTCTTTGCCGCAGGGGCCTGTCCTGTGCATTGCAAGATGCATCCTCCACACCATTCCACCCTAACCCATTGCAAAACTGTCCCCAGCCGATGCTCTGGGGTTGGTGGGGGGAGAAAAATCACCACCCCCATGAGAACCACTGTAATAAACAGAAGAAGATGTGCAGGCTTTGTTTGAAGAACGGTGCAGGAGGCTGGGCTAGCTGGTGCTGAGTGATTCAGACACGCGTTTTAGCTCACCAAGTCCACTAGAGGGCAGCAGCTGAGCAAAAATGTCTGTTTCATTTCATAGCTAAAACGGCAATACCTACGTATTTCAAGTTAGACAACCAGCTCACACAGGGGGACTTCAACAGACTACAGAAAGAACACTATAAAGGTGTCAGAGGAGAGTGTTTTGAAAATTTAATGGTCAGAATTATCTCAGGCCCAGCTTTCCAAGTGTCTTTATTCCTTCCACCCATAAAAAGAAGGTCATGTTCCTAGTGATGAAATTATAGATCTGGGGGAGCAGGTGGTGTCAATTCTGCGATATCTTTAATGTTTGCAGATAAAACTATTTAGTGAACACACACACTCCTGCAGAAACACAATTATTATGTAAGTCCTGCAGCCAGGAAACACTTCTCAGTTTATTTCTCAGACTTGCTATGTATGTGCTCCAAAGAACAACTTAAACTACACTTATTTGAAAAGTCAGCTTCATAAGAAAATTGGAGTGTCTCTTTAAGGTTTGATTCGATGATGTCCATTTTAAAGAAAGGGATATTTTAGAAAATAAAATCCTTCGTTTTCTAAATTTTAGTGCTTATTTTTACTACAGAATAATCATTTCTTTACATGTCTGTCTCTTTCGCTCATCCATACATAGAACACAGGACTTGATTTGTATTCCCAGCACCAAGCCTGGTGCTCGGATGACCCTAAGTGCTTAATAAATATTTGCTGAATCCACTGTTTGTCTACACAAATTAGGCATGGTCCTGGAGCCTGGTTAATGCCAATGAATGTATTTAGTACCACTGAAAATCTCAAGACAGACCATCCCCAGGTTTTCTTGCTTTGCAAAAGAAGCAAGAGGGTATTTGCTTGACTGTCACATACCTGCTCAGAGACAGAGCTGCTGTATTTTTTAGACATTCTCTTCCTCATTGTCTCTTTCACGGATTTCACCTTTTTTCCAAGAGAGATTCGGGAGGCAGTGGGTGATTTGATTACTTCTTTATACACAAAATCGCCTTCTTTACCCTGCAAAACAAAGTTTATTAAGTATCTTTAATCACAGAAAATGAAGCCCCCAAAAACAGGTTTTATTATTCAAACCATGAATGTCCTACCTCTCAGCAAACTGTTGACATGCCCCAGGATCTCCACATTTTTCTTATGTTAACTCAGCACTATATTATTTTTCTTTATGATTAAAAATTAAAGCTACTGACTAACTGGCTTATGTTTATTTGTTTAAAGTGGAATATGAGTTAGTTTTATTTAAACTTAGTATGATATATTCTCCTTCCGCTGCATTTTTTCCCACCACTTTAAATACCCAAGGGGACTGTGTTTCATCAATAAAGAATGATTTAGATGAACCAGTGTTCGCTGAATCCCAGCATGGGGAAGAAAAAAAGGATACTACTACTGAGTCACCCAAGAAAGTGGTAAGAACAAAATGGCAAATCTCAATCATTACAAGTCCATCACCTGATCAGACTTATATCACTGAAGCATTTTGTGTGGTCACCTCCTAACCATGTGTAAACTTATTTTTCCCTGAACAAGTTCGATTGCAGTCACTTCTCATTCTATTTTACATTGGGGGTGGGGGGGGGTGGGGAGACTTTCCCTTGGAGAAAGAAAAAAGAAATTATACTTTTATTTTTTAAAAGATTGACCAGATAAAATTATTGGCTTATGAATCGATAAAATTTGATATCCAAATAAAATAATTGTATTCTCCCAGGAAATTCTCAGACACTACAAAAATATCATAGATGGGTGCTTTAGCTGACACATGATCATAACGAATATGAAGCACAGAATCCTGATTTCACAGCTTCACGATAAAATGCACAAGGGGAAAACAAAACCATATGGAAAACTCACCGACATCCTTAGGAATCTCAGAAGGGAAAGTTGGAGGAAAACCTGTACACCACAGTGGGGGCCTGACCCCAGACTGTGATTCAGAGACAAGTTTGAAACGGCAGTAACCCTGGCTCAGAGGAGTCTGGTTTGCTTTGGCCCCAAGGGGACTGGGTTCATTTCAGGACACTCCAGATCAGGAAGTTCTAAGCTTAGCGGAGAGCTACGCACATGGCCTATGATAAGGCTGGTTTTTAGAAACGCTGGCTCATTCCCTTGGAACCCAAATCACAGGGCTCTCTCCTGTGGCCCTACCCACGCGTAACAGTCACATACACATGCAACTATTGTGAACAGAAAGCATGCGAGCACCAATGGCTCAGACTGTAGAAACCAAACTCCTCTGGACTTGTGACTTGAAGAAACCTGGGAACCAAGACATTAAAGAAATGACGCTACTGCAAAGAGAGAGATGGTCATCTTTCATTCCGTATGAAACCAAAAAGAATCTTTAAGATGGTGAAACAAGGCTTCTCTCCAAACCTGATTTAGGATCCCCGGAGGATGGTTACCTAGTATCAATTCTCAAAAATACTAAATGTGAAACTGTGTCCACCACATCATTTGAATCCAAACCTTTTCCCTCCCTTCTGATGTATACTCACCATTGGGTCCGAATTATTACTGCCAATGTGCAGAGCACGATTTGTCAAGTCAAATCCTCCAAAACTGCAGGTTCTCTGTGGAAAGGAGAAGGCAGGACAGAAATAATCCAGTTATGTTTAAGTCAGCCAACAGTGTACTGACCCAACACACGTCCCGTTTGCAGAATGTCACTGGATCACAAACGTGTTACAGGATGAGAGTAAGAAACGAGAAATGATGAAAAAAAACACATGGTTCATGTTATAAGGAGACGTCATCACTCATTTTGCCCTTCCACGGGCCACTGGAACTATGCCTGTACCACAGGTTCAGAGTCCCCTTCACATGCAAAAACCAACTGGTTAAAAAAAAAAAAAAAAAATATATATATATATATATATATATATACAATGCAAAAATACTATACATATGTCAAGTGCTCTAAGATGCCCTGTCTCTTAGTCACAGAATTTCCCTTCTTCTCCCCTTAATATTGGCTACAGGAATAATAACGAGGGAACATGCATTAGAAAACCCATGTGCTCAAAGCAGTCTTGGAAACCCAGATCTGAAGTCCACTGAAAGCAGGCCTTTCTAACAGACTCTTGTTTTGTTTAGCTTTAAATCACTCACATGGAGGAAAAGGTTATGTTTATAAGTAAAGTCCAATCAGGCCCAGAGGACTACTCATTCATTTCTTTCCTGACCTAGCCAAAAATGCTGGTAACTCTCCCATCTAACTGCCCAACTTAATCACTTATGACTCTTTCTTCAGAGTCTCTGAAGTAAAGATATCACATTTGCCCAGAAAGAAAAAGACTGATTCCGTGACTGTCTTTGACCACACTTCTTTAATTTCAACAGGAAAACCACTGATGTTATAAAGAATGAAATCTTTACTGTCCTTCTGGTTGGTTTCAAACTTTATGGTACTGCTTATGTTTCAGTGCTTTTATATTTCTAGAATTTTGCATTCTCTGTTGCTTTTCTAGCAAAAGTGTCCCCATTCCCACCTCCACACCCACTTCAATCCCCAAGTCTTTAACAAAAGGAGAAACTCAAAGCATACTAATTTTTGTTACAATCTATTATCTTCTAAAGCAATTGGTGATAAAATCTAACTGACAGATTTGGGTGCCAATATTTTTTATTACTTGTTTCTCAGAGAACTCTAATTAACAGCTATTAAATGGAAGAAATGAACAGAAAAGCACAACGCATACTATAAACATTGCTTACTGAAAATAAATGCACCTCAGGTATATTCTGCAGCTTCCCTGATAGCTCATTTGGTAAAGAATCCGCTTGCAATGTAGGAGACCCAGGTTCAATTCCTGGGTCGGGAAGATTTGCTGGAGAAGGGATAGGCTACCCACTCCAGTATTCTGGCCTGGAGAATTCCATGGACTGTATAGTCCATGGGGTTGCAAAGAGTCAGACACGACTGAGCAACTTTCACTTTCAGGTATATATTAACTGAACTGAGAAAGTGGCAACATCCAGGAAGGAAAATGCCTAGGTTTTTAGAATCACAAAGATACGGATCCAAATACTGGTTCTACCACTTAACTTGCTGAGGGACCAGAGGTAAAGTACTTAAACTGTCTGAGCTCTGGTTTTTCCATTGGTAAAATACTGTCTATATCCTATATTTGAGATGTTTAGCACACTGTCTGGCACAAAGCAGATGCTCCCTAGTGTCTCAGCAGTAAAGAATCTGCCTGCAATGCAGAAGACAGGGGTTTGATCCCTGGTTTGGGAAGAGATTCTCCAGCATCCCCTGGAGAAGGAAACGGCAACTCCTTCCAGTATTCTTGTCTAGAGAATCCCATGGACAGAAAAGCCTGGTGGGCTACAGTACATGGGCTCTCAAAGAGTTGGACACGACTGAATGACTAAACCACCGACCACCAAAACCACAGTGAGAACATGGTAGCTTGTCCTGGCAACTGTTGTACTAAGTCGAGGTTTAGTCAACATTCTAAATATGCGAGTGAAGAACTAGAGCTTAGTTCTGGGCCTCATATTCTGCGGTCTTCAACTGTAAAACCACAGCAATCCTAAGAATGGACCCAAAAGTGAGCGACAGCTGGTATGACAGAAACAAAGGCCGGGAGAAGAAAGTGCTACAGGAGGCATTTCAGGATAACCAACATCCAGGGTATCACATAACTGTTCTCCTTCGTCAAAGCTGTGCTGCTATTTTAAATGGTCTACCATGGACACGACTTCCAATAGACATTACTTTCATTTTATATGAATATCAATGGACAATGTGATTTCCCTTACAGTCAACTTACTTGGACCTGTATCTGTTCTATAAAAAGAGACAGTATCTCTGTAAACAAAATCACCACCAAATCCCCTCATCTGCGAGCAATGTCATGACCATCTCTCAAGGCTGATTTTTAACTTTCCCTTTCCCTTTCCAGTGTATAGTGCCAAATACATTTTCTCATTTCTGCAAAGGCAGTCGTTTTATTCCAGTCGCTTTCCTGTGACTCAGCGCTCCACAGACACAGTATGGAGTCCAGATGCCTCGTCATTTTATGTCTCTCGTGTTCCCCTGCTTTGAATTCCAATGCTGACTACACCACTGAGCCCAGCATGTTATTTCTGATGCACATGAAATAACTGACAAAGAATTTATGTGGAAACTATAACTGCAATAAATTAGAAGCTTATATGTCTTCATATGCCTGCTGCATGCATTTTTTCCTAAAATAAGAAGTTTAGAGGAAAGAGTGGACTGGTTTTCCTAACTGCCAACTAAAACTTCTCCCAGTGATAGGCTAAGATATTTGGAACTGATTCTTCTGTATGAAGGATGAACCAAATATAACAACACTGCTTGAACTCATCTATAACTTCTTCTATTATATCAAGTAGTTCTTGAAGCATCACTCTTTCAACAGAGAAAATAGAAGAGTAAAAGAAAGTAAACCAATCTTCGACTTCAGTGGTCTACATAAATAAAGCTTACATGAAGTTTTTCAAGTTCAAACATCTCCTGTACAGAAATTACAAGAAAATTTTAGATAGATGCTTGTGGATGAGGAGAGCCAGTCAATGGAATGGTCATGCAGTTGAAAACATGTTTTGGGGGGAGGTTGGATTTTTTTTTTAAGTGGACAAAATTCCAAAATGTCATGCATGTCTGTTCCCCCAAACAAAATTGGATGACCAAATAAAAAGCAAGACAAATGACCGTTTCCAGTGAGTACAAAGCATTGTCATTTCCCTGAGGTTTCATCAAGCAAATATGGCATATTTTGAAAGACAAAAAGATCAAGGTTGAAGAGTAAAGGAAAGTATACTTTTGAATAAAATGAAAGAGAGATATGACAAGAAGAATGGAAAAGACTTAAGAGAACCAAGCAAAGAAATAATCTTAACCTCTTAAAAGCAAAAATAAAAACCCTTCTTCTGTTGTTAAAATATTTAACAACAGGGGTTAAAGCCTGTGCTTCTACCGCAGGGGGTGTGGGTTCGATCCCGGGTTGGGGAACTAAGACTCCATATGCCACACAGCGTGGCCAAAAACAACAGAAAAACAAAAACACTAATACTTCCCTATGTTCTCTGAATAATTAAATTTTGTTTTCTTGATTGTACAACTACAAGAAACGGTATGTTCAAATTTCTAATTTAGCACTGAACACATATTTCAGCGAGTATTAAAACTGTCCAGTACTGCCTCAAGCTCACAGTATTTCAAAAAATACTACCCCCCCAAAAAAAATACCCAGTATCAGGTTGATGCTGGGGACAGAGGTTACAGAATGCCAGTTTTACAAGTGGCGGAGTCAGTACATGAAAACAAGCTTGTCCAACTGTCCATATTCAATGTCGATGAAGAATTAATCACTGGCCCACCAATGGCCCAAATCTTAGAAATACAACTTCTAGAGAGAAGGTTCTGATAAAGTTGTATCATTAACAAACAATATAAATAATATAAGGGATATATGAGCAACTCAAGTCACTCAATTGGAAAACTCCTCCATATTATCTGATTTAAACTCACAGGGGTGAGCCATCAATTCACAAAGAAGTGGATCTGATCTGTCAAGGTACAGAGGCAAATAAACTAGGTAGAACACCCCTGAAGGTTAAAAAAAAAAACAAAAAAAAAACCCAAACAAATTATACCAAAACTGGGCGGCCACAAGTATTTTCCAAAAGATCTGTCAGTCAGAACTGAAGGGGTGATAACAAGAAATAGTAACAAAGAACTATTACTTTACAACAAAAACAAAATCAACCGCAAATGCTGCCAAGACAAAGAACCAGAACAAAAGCTGTTACTGATAAAATTAAAAGTGTTGCAAGATTTATAAGAAGGTGAAAAAAATGCAAAGTAAGACCTAGCAAGAAAGTCAACACGTGGGGATAGTTGGAAGACCTAAGGGCTGGTATGGATGTAAGCATTCTATAAGGATGGCACTCACCACAAAAGCAGAACTTCATTGAATGAATTTAGATTACAGCAACCACCCTGGGAAGTACATCTTACAAATATCAAGAACTCTGGGCGAAGCCACCATGGGAGGCAGCAACACAGTCTACTCCTTCAGACCTTTGAAAGGGGACAAGTCAGCTGCCCCAAGTGGATTAAGCAGGGTGCTAGGGGCCACAAGCCCACAGTTCAGCCTCATCCTGTGCCATATTATACAGGCTCTTGTGCAAACTAAAAGTTGAGCGGGAATTTCCATGGGGAAATACTTATATTCTCCAGTTCAATAGAAGTCTTGCCCTAAAAATAAATTTCACCAGGTCTCTAACAATCCAGTAATGAAATTGAAGACTGTTTTCTTTTTTGAAAGTCAGTACTTTATTATTCCTTGCTAGGTACAGAAGAATCTATGGGGCAGAGGAAGACATTTCCAAATGCTGACCCTTTTGTTTAAAAAGATAAGCACATCGAATATACTTAAGTAAAACAAAAGAGCTCTAATTTTTCTTTCCTTTTAGATTGGAGAACTTTGCCTTTGTCCCCCAGACATAAACGTATTTCACAATGTTTTTTAAATTGGTGAGAATGGTGATGCCAATCTACTGTGAGCTAGTTCTTACTGTTCTTTTTATTTTTTTATTTATTTTTTTTTTACTGTTCTAATTAACTGGAGAAGAGACACCTCCTTGGAGGGCAAAACGTCCTTCTGTTTTGCATCAGCTTCTTACGGTCAAGTGGCAGGATGGCTGGGACCCAAGGCAGCCACTTCTAGAAGGCCGAGCCCACCCTGTACTCTGAGCCCTTCTCTGAATCAGTTTCAATGTTTAGTTTTAAGATTCCCTGGTAGCTCAGCCGGCAAAGAATCGGCTGCAATGCGGGAGACCCGGGTTCAATCCCTGGGTTGGGAAGATTCCCCTGGAGAAGTGAACGGCCACCCACTCCGGTATTCCGGCCTGGAGGATCCCACGGACTGTATCGTCAGCCCATGGGGTCGCGAAGAGTCGGACACGACTGAGAGACTTGCATTAAAAATCCAACAGCTTCAGCGGGCAAGAGGGCAGATGAGAAAGAATGGAGGAGGCATTCCTTTAAGAGAAGTGGGGTTAGGAATGGAGGTGATGGAGCGAGGGACCAGAAGAAGAGGGGGAGGGAGCCAGGCTCCCGGCAAGAGAGGCCATAATGCTTGACCGAACGTCACAGAAATGACAAGGCCGTCCCCGTGACCGTCTGGGTGACTCACGGACTTCTGGTGGATTCTCAAGAGAACCCTCTTAGTACAGCGGTCCACCGTGGCGGCCCACTTCCTCTTGGCCTCCTCCTCCTCCTCCAGCAAGCACCGCCTCAGGTCCTGCTTCTCGGCCTTGCTCAGGGTCCTGTCCGAGGCAGGACGCACGAGCTGGGTCAGGTTCAGGTGGCTGTACAGGCTGCGCTCCACCACGTAGGTGACATTGAACTCGCTGACCGCGGGGCGCCCGCGCGCCCTCCGCCCAGGGCCGCCGCAGCCCCCGCCCGCTCTGGGCTTCTGCCGGAGCAGCTGCAGGTCACAGGTGGCGCTGTGGACGCCCTTCCTGGAGGGGCGCTGGCAGAGGAACGCTCTGGAGCACGAGTGGTTAGCGTCCGTCTTCTTCAAGCGGATCTGCTTCCGAACACTCTGCACCTCCTCCAGGGACGCCAGGAGGTGGTGTCGCCGCCGGTGGCTGTCATAGAGGCAGAGACCATCGGTACTTACCCCGTGGCTCAGGGACCCGAGCCCCTTCTTCATCTCCCCCTCGGTGAGGGAGCGGGACACCTTCTGGGCCTTGTCGTCTTCCGGGTACGAGAAGAATGTCCCCATCTTCTTGGCGGGCTTGATCAGGCCCCGGCTCTCTCCTTTGCTGAAGGTTTTGACAAGTTTGCGGCCAGCGCCCCAGGTGTCCAGGCTACTGGATGATGGAGACGTCGTGAGAGAGTCTGAGTCATCTTCTGGGGGTTTCTCAGGAGAAGCGTCAAAGAAAAAGGGCTTCTTGTGCACATCGGAGTACAGGGCGGACCTTTCATCTGGGACCGGGGAATTCTCAAACACCTGTTCCTCCCCGCCTGGAGGGAAACACACACACACGGTCAGGGGCTCCGTCAACACACCCTTGCATTCTTTCACAGACTTGTCTTTAGATCCCCCAGCCCCCGCAAAAAAGCTGCTAGTCCATCCAGCCAGCACAGCCAGAACAACCCCCTTCCACAACCACTTACCTCCCATAAACCTGGTTCCCGCTTACATAAATGCAGATAAAAGAAAATAAACTGAGCAAATAAATGGTTTCATGCAAGCTTCATGTTAAAAGGTTTCAGATGTGTTTTCTCCTCCTCCTCCTTTCAGTGTCTTTGTAGACCAAACACCTTTACAGACCTATTAAAAATGCCACTTGGAAACTCTAAGCCCATCCATAACACAATATTCCTTAGCATTTAATGATCATTATCCTCCCCAGTTTGTCAGGGCAGTCCTCGGAAGCGAAGAATCAGAATCGTTCTCCCTTCTGAAAGGTGCTCTTGTTGATCTGGCTGGCTTTTTAGTCAGAGTGTGATGGATGCCATGTGGCTGACAGTGATTTTTTTATTGGTACACGTGCCATTTAAGTAATTAAATCACCAAGGGAGAAGTCAGGGTGAAGAAGCACCATAAAGGGTCGTAGCCTGCAAAGGCAACTGACAAATGGTCCCTGCTTGACAGGCTGAACACTAAAAGCTGGGGAACGGGATGATTCAAGCCAGGCATTCCCATCGACGCAGGCCCTGCTACAAAGCGGCAAGGGCGTTTAAGGGCCTGGACACGCAGGCAGCCTCATGGAGTGTTCCATTTCATCTCAAGGATTCCAGCTCTTGAAGCCTTCATTGGAGCCAGGTATCCAGCCAAGCCTTTCAGAGCCCAGTGGAAAGGTTTGGACTTGCTGGCAGGAAAACTGAGTTCTTTTCTGCATGTGTTATGTGAACAGATGTGAGAAAAGAAATAGGTCAAACTCTGGGTGTAGTGATCCTAACTGGCTCTTGTCCCTTTAATTATCGATATAAGGAAACTTTTGAGCACTGCGGCTTCCTGCCAGCTGAACTGTGAAGAGGAAAAAATACCAAGTTCCTTGGAACAGAAGGATGGCACTAAATATACCAGCTGGGACGAGGGTGCCAGTGTGTGGCTAAATGTCAGTGATAAAGGAAAAGGACAGCTCTCTCCAGAGGGGAGGAAAGATGAGCGACTGGTAACAGGCCTTTAAAGTTCCAAAAGTTTCTTAAATTAGCTGACGGGAATTACAGTTACAAATATAAAGAGGAAAAAAGCACTGCTGCTATTAAATACAGCCCAAGACTGACTTTGAGGTCAAGGGGATAGTGGTGGGGAGAGACTCAAAACTATGTCTGGTTCAAAGTTCTCCATAATCTACAGCATAAATATATTCACTTGAGAATTATTCTTGGATCTTTCAAGGAAGTTTAAAACCCAGGGCCCTGATTCTGGTGGACATTGGCTAGATTAAACTGCTTCCTGCTCCCTCCTCAGGACACCTAACTAATATGTTGCTGGAAGTAAAATATGGCAACCTCTTCCAGATACAATCTACCCTCCACTTCCAGGGGTAAAGTGACGGGGTCTAAAGACACAGCCTAGGGACAGGGGTAGCCTGACAGCAGACTTCTCCCTAAAAATAGTCCAATAACGGATCATGGCTTCCACATTTAGCCCATGTGTCCATGGAGGTGTGCAAAGGTCCTTAAGGTCTTAAGGGGATTTGGGGAAGTTAAGGACCTATCACTCAGAACGGTTCTGGAAATTTTCTAGATTCTGTATTTGGGGTTGTCATCAGAGATTCCAATACTTCCGTGTCACATATGAGTTTGGAAGCAGCTGGTTCACACATGCCCATGACATAAGTAGCTCCACTTCCTGGTTCTGGCACGTCAGCATCTGGTAAAGAGTTTGCAGGGAAACAGGGCAAACAGTTCCAAAGAGGACACCTCAGCCTGTGCTACGGGCAGTCCCCATGTGCTATGGGTTCTTCCATCCTTGCCAGACCCAAGGTCTGAAATTCCAGTCCGTACTGGAATCCTTGGGGTTTAGGGTATTACTTCTCCCATTCACCTCAGACTTGAAAGTACAACTATCATACTGGAAAAACAACAATCAAGATGTGCTCAACCTCATCATCATCTGGGGTATGAGTTGCTTCTTGCTCAGCTGAGATGAGAGTAGGTCATTTTGACAGCAGGAAGGAGATAGGGTATGAGATGACTTAAAGCCCAAAACACAGATTCTAGCTCTGGCCATGCCACCCACTGTCTCCACCACCATGGACAACTACTTCATCTCTCTGTTTCCTCACCTGTCATAATGCCTACCTATATTTATTTTATTTTAATGGCCATGCCATGAAGCTTGCAGGATCTTAGTTCCCCGACCAGGGATTCAACCTGGACCACAGCAGTGGAAAGTGCCAAGTCCTAATCCCTGGACCACCAGGGAATTCCCAAGGCCTACCTATTTTAGTAATATCTACCTATTATAAGGATATTGGAGGATAAAATTAAATGAAAAGAGATAGGTAAAGGTACTTTGTATGCTGAACAACACTGTACAAAAGCTAGTGATTCATTAGCAGGTTACAGGTGAACTAGAGTAATGAAGGAAGGGAAAAGACACAGAAATGACTGGATAAAGGGCACTGCCCTGGCCTGCAACGTCACATTGTCTGGGGTCACCGACGCACCAGGTAAGGACTCGCTACTCTAGTTACAAAAGTCTGAGTGCCGAATTGTAACTCTCCGGGCTTTTCCAAGACTCCAAAGCTGGGGAGTGAGAGATGGGGAGGGAGGGACTCCTCCAGGATCTAGAGGAGTCAGGCTGCTCAGACTTAATTCCAGGGCTCTGTCCAGCTGGCTCGGTGACCATGAGTACATTACTTCCCCTCTTTGTGTCCAGCTGAGTTTCCTCATTTCACAAATGAAGGCAGCATCAGTGTCTGCCTCTGGTGACTATTCTGAAGATGACATATTACAAGGAGCTGTAAGATGACATACTACAATAAAATCTGAAGTGTTTAGCAAAGTGGCTGGCACACAGAAGGCTCTCAGGAAATGCTCGCTATTATTCAGACAACTTAGCATTGACACAGGCATGCAGAAATCAAAAGGGTCCACTATTTGAAGGTCCAGGGGTGGAAGGAGGGAGTGTGGGGACTATGAATCTCTCCAGCTTCGCAAAGAAGGTGCCCGGGTAGCCTCTGTGTACCAGCATGAGCTCTCTTGCTAATGAGGAAGAGTTCTACCACGCAGAGCATGGAGGAGTTTCCAATCTAGCACAGTGGTGTTGGAGGTAGACTGCAGTGGATGCCCTGAGCTGTACATACACCTGGGGCCTCTCCTGGTGACAGCGGCAAGCCTGGTCAATAGCACCCCGGACGCTAGACCCCAGAACTGCCACTTGGGATTAAACTCACCAAATCCATCTTGCATCTACGACATCTAATTCATGCCCAGATGAATCAAAGTTCAATGCTGAAAGTCCATAGAGTTATTACCTTTTACCCTATAGTGACTTCTTTTGGTACACTTTCCCTTTTTCTCAGTTATGGCTCTCAGAGATAGCTGAATTGATTGATTCTGACATAAACACACAAATGAGAATATTTCTGTGCTTTTATGAGGCCCAACACACAGGACTATCACATACAAAGAAGCTCCTGGGTGGTAGGCACAGGACCATGTACTTCACCCATTTATCTCATTTACGGACAAGACCCACCAATCTATGCATGATAGATGAGATTTAATTTCGGCAACTATGCATGAGGTTTGTTTTAAAACGAGATGCTCCCAAGGTTGAATATTGGCAATTCCATATGTTCCTATTTAATATTACCAAACGACACTGTGTGTGACTTCAGTAGACCCGCCATGGGAGAGGAAGTCAGACTGTGTGTTCTGTTCTGTGGAACCATGACAGACAGGCAGGTATTAAAACAGCCAAATGTAAACAGCACCGCACCTGGAATTACCATGCAAAAGACACCCAGATGCAACCCTGGAATTAAATAGAACTCTAAGAAACTGGCTATAAGGCAGACAGTGTCTCCTTCCCTGCTTCTCTGGTCTCTTCCCCCTTTCCTTTCAATCTTCACTTCCCCATAGTAACCCCCTGGTCTTCCATATTCCTCCAGAGGATTAAAACCAATAAATAATTACATCAAACAAAAAATTTCAAAACGCCAAAAACAGCAACAGGAAACCCTCATCTATGTAAATAAAGGGGAATCCCGTTCCCTCCAAGGTGTGATTTGATTTAGGTACAACAAAAGAGCCTCTACAATGGCATTTTTTAAAATCTACATGTTAAAAATTTGAACTTCCCCACAATGTCAGTGTGACATTTTAACAAGTCTCGTGCTTTTAAAAAGAATAAAAAAATTCTTTCTAGCATTTCTTTCAATCACTAATGGTTTCCCAAACAGGAAATCTTACTCTTTTGTAACTTTTGGGGAGACTTTTACAAGATGCTGCAAATGAACTTTACTAACAGTAAGAAAGACAGACACGGTTGAAATTTAAACTGTCATAATTACACTTCAAAGGTTAACTATTCAATACAATAAATCCAAGTTCATGTCCCTTTTGACATTATGGCTTCATCTGATTGAGTGGCTTGGCCAGGAACCTGGCTCTTAAAGCATTTAGAATGGGAGGTCCTTAAAGCCTCTTTGGAACTGAGACTTGGGATCGTTAACAGGAAGAAGAAATCATCCCTCAGATCTGAAAGGACATTAAGTGCCTTGTTTGTTAGATGCTTGTTTGAGGTAGAGATACATTAAATTTGGACTAAACTCACTGGGTGAGACCCATAGTCCTTTGGGAACTGAGGCTCACACTCAGAAGATGTTCTAAAATAAAAGTTTATATAAAATGGTATAAGGTCCAAATGAAAGTGGAAGCACATCTTGAGAAGATTTCATTGCCATACACTAGCCACTGCCCATCTTTGCAATATTTAAATAACTAAGCCTCCGGAATGCTGGAGGCCAGGATCCTACATTCCAGAAGGGACTCAGTGCTGCCTTGCTCACATGCAATCCCCAGTTCCCCTCTGCCAGCCTCAGCCAGAACCCATTCTTCCACTTTCATATTTTCTGCTGAGACGGACCCCAGATGACTTGCTTTGGAATAAGTAGGGCAGAGTTTGCTTTATTACCTTCTGTGCTGGGCTTTTTCATTTCTTCCACCCTGATGAGTTTCTTTCTCACTCTGCGAGTGGAGTTTACCAGCTTGTGTAACCTCTTAAACTTCACCGACTCCTCAGTCTCATCCTCCGACTGTTCTCTTGACTGGCAAAGAAACAAAGGAAAAGTTAATCAGATAATTGCTGGGCGGAGCTCTGCCTCACTGCCAGTCTGAACTCTGGCACCTCCGCAGCTCAACCTGGGGCACCAACAAAGCCGCCCAACAGGTTCATAGAGAGACACGTACCATCATCTTAAGGTCTAATTTGGTGGAGAATTAGGTCCTAGGCACCCCCCCACACACCGATGGCCTGGCCCGGCCTGGGGTGCATTTGTCTCAATGAATTCCCGGTCCTTTCTGGGAGAGCTCCGGCAGGATGCTCCTCTAGGCAGGCCCTGTAATTCCAGTTAACACTGCTGTGCTTTGGGCCAGCCTCTCCTCTGCCTGGCCCATCAGGGCTTGCTGTTTAACGTGGTCATCGACTACTTCTCCAAACCCAGAATCTGCTGAATTGTTCCAGTCCTCTCCGAAAATCAAAAACAGCAGGGCAGGAAAATGGAAGAGATGCAAAAATCCATCCTCGGTCCCATTTGTAGGGACTGTCTGCCATCCCTGCTTCCGCCTCTCCCAGCTCCTTCCAAGAGTTCCCAAGGAGAGCCTGGGGAAACAGCCTGCATTCCTCCACGAGGGACAAGGGAAAAAGCTGACCTTTTCAGCCATACAGTCCAGTCCATATTCCCCAGCATCCCATTTCAGTTCTGCAGTGATTCAAGAATGCTCAGCCCAGCTGTTTTCCCTCAAGTATCAAACATTACAGAGAGGGGAAGAAAAAAAGTCTCGGCAGCAATGACCCAAGCGAAAAACAATCCTTTCCTTGTGAACAAAATGAGGCTTTCGCTTCCAAGTCAGCTCCAACATTCAACAGGCAGCTTCCTCTGTTTTATCTGCTCGAAATGTGAAAAAGCAAAAGGAGGCTCCAAGTCAATGGACGTGCGGCCCGGGCCGGGCGCGCCGGCATCCTCGGGGGCGCAGAGCCGGGCGGAAGTGCGCAGCCTCGCCACAGCCCCGGCCGCTCCAGCTCACCCCGCGCATCCTGCCAACAACTTTCCCTCGGTTTCCTCCAACCTAGCTCGCTGACAGAGCGGGGAGAGACATGCCTCCAACCAAAACCAAACCACGTCTCCGAACCCGAGTCTAATATGGAGACCTCCCCTCCTCCAAGAAATGCTCTCACGAATCCCAATTTTATAGAAGCTAAATTGGGAAGCAAGAGTGAGCAGAGAACAGTTCAGGAGGAAATGAGGTAGAGATTCTTGTAATTACTTAGGCAGAAAAATAGTGTCTGCTGTGAGTCCACAAATATTTCTGTAAGCACTCTGGCCCTCCATCAGGGATATACGACCCATTTCCTGGCCTCTGTCCTGGCCCTGGGGTTCCCAGCATTGAAGCCATTGTACTTTCTCCCTGCAAAACTATAAGCAAACCATTCACTTGTTAAAGAATAATTATTATAACCCATGAAATGGCCAGTCATCAGGACAGGGGTATTTCTCAGACTTTCTTTTTTTTTTTTTCCTTTTTTTCCTTCCATTTCTCAGACTTTCCTTCTGTGAAGTATATCAGTATCTACATCCAATTTCTCTAAAAAAAAAAAAACAAAAGGTTCTAGGTAAAATGTTGCATACACATTTCAGAATTAAAGTTAACTGCTGGTAATGAAGAGTAGAAATTAGACCGCCAGATAATCAGGGAAGGAGGATTCATTGCATGCTGGCCATCATGCTTAATGCATTTGGTCTAAAACTTAAAAAGTAACACATTAAAATAAAATAATAAGTACAGCTTCTACTACATAATTGTCTGATTGGAACTTTACTTTTTCTTGCATGACTTGCTGGTGTGTGAGGGGACAGTCAGAGTGGTCAACCAGAGGAATGAAAAGTTGGTTAACCCCTCCTTCTGGGTAATCAGCACCTGAACAAAACCACAGTGCGTGGAATTATAAACACTGAAAAACATTCTGCCTCCTTGATGTCTCTCAAAAACCAAGTACTTCTAATAGAAGAAGAGTTAACATTCGACTACAGAAAGTTTCTATACCTACAAATCTAGACTGTCTATAACCCTCACATTAAAAATTCTGAAGTCACGTGGAAATGAAATAAGCATGTGTGTGTGTGCATACTAAGTTGCGTCAGGCGTCAGTCGTGTCCAACTCTTTGTGACCCTATGGACTGTAGTCCGCCAGGCTCCTCTGTCCAAGGGATATGGACTGTAGCCTGCCAGGCTCCTCTGTCCAAGCGATTCTCCAGGCAAGAATACTGGAATAGATTGCCATGCCCTCCTCCAGGGGATCTTCCCAACCCAAGGATCGAACCAACATCTCTTACATCTCCTGCATTGGCAGGCAGGTTCTTTACCACCAGCACCACCTGGGAAGCCCCGAAATAAGCACAGGTTGTTCATAAGCAAGATTCAGGAAGTTACATCATAGAATGAATATCACTCATACTCACACTCAATGGGGTTGCTGGTGGTGGTGTGTAGGGGTGGGAAGGGGAGTAAAAAGAGAAAGGGGATCTGGAAAGGGATAATACAAAAATCCTGAGTCATAAAGACACAAATCACTTGCAGGAAACACACTATTGGAAGGAACTTTTCAGGAAGAAATCAAAATAGTTAAACCAGGACAACAGATTTAAAGGCAATGACACCTCCCCATCCCCACTAGTCCTACTTTCCTCTTCTCAAATTCACTGGGGTGAAAAAGAACATATTCCATTACTTTCACATGTTCCATCCATTTTTTGAGAAAGAACTCTTCAGAATTTTGAATTGTTATTTTTATTTTTCTTGAAAAAAAATTAAAAGTTTGGAGGCATTTGCCACTGACAAATCACAAATCATGGCAACCAATAACTTTCTTTGCAGTAGCATGTTTGGGGATACTCGACAAGATAGATGATGCAGCACTATTTATATGAAGAGAAATGTAGGATAAAATCAGTCATTCAAGAAATATATGTATATCTTATTATCATTTTAAAAATTGAAAATCTCCTCTTCGTGAGCCCAGAAGTAACTGGCAGTGAACAGTATATCCCAAGGATGCTTTTTATTGAGAGAGGTGTTGACTTCTCACTTCCTCCTGAGTCCAGAGGAAGAAGAGTTGTGAAATATTTGCCTTAAAAAAATCCTCTCCAGCTGTTTCAACATAAAGACTCTGTAAACGGCATGCATTTTTCTTTTAAACTAGGCAGTAAAGCTTAAATTCCTCATTTCATGTTTCTCCTTTTAAATACACATGTGCCACTTCCCAAGTGTTGGAAAAAAGAGACTTGTCTTTTTATTCAGAAAATACACCCCCAGAAATGTACGTGTGAGATGGGGGTGTGAAAATCTCCTTTAGATTATGTGTATATAAAGGAAATCCTCATACTTAGAGGAACTTTGTAGAAGATGAAGGAAATCAGCATTGAATATAAAATGAATGACTGATTTCAAGAAAGAGAGTCAGAGCTATTATAAAACCAGGTTTTAAATAAACTAGAGAGAAAAAAATATCAGTATATGTTTATACACATTCAAACACAAGATGGTATCGCCTACCCTCCCTGTCTTGGCCCAGGTCAAAGTACTAAAATAAACTTTAATTTGACCAGATTTTAAATTAGAAGGTGGAAACTCAATCATCTGTATACAATCCTTCACCTCTGAACCTTTAGTAGAAAAGGCAATAGATTTATCCCACCAAAGGATGTGGGAAAGTGGATTTACAATATTGTAAATAGAAACATTTGATTTCCAGCCTCCCTCTTGCAGATTTTTCCACCAGAAAGCCCATATGGCTCAACTTTTAATTACTTTGGCTAATGCTATATGTAGTAATTCTGTGGTGAATGCTTAAGTGTTTCATTTCTGGTTTCCATGGCAACATTACATCAGATTGCAGACAGCTGGCTCCACAGTTTTAAACCATAACAAATTGACCAAGCCAAGGCACAAAACTATAGCTGCTTTAAAGAGAGAGTACACCATTCTCCCGCCAGGGTGCTGAATGAGGAGACTATGGGGCCCGTTTGGCTTGCAACGGAGGGTGGAGCCTCCCTCTTTCTCAGCTTCTTTTGGAATATGTGTGTCCTTGACACATCTGCAATGTTCTAATGGGAAAGACATGGAGCCAGTGAGGAGAACTTTTTATAACACAGCTACATTAAGGATAATCACAAAAAAAGGGAACACAATTAACAGCATCTGTAGATACAAAAATGCATGCTGGAGCAAACTGAAAGCATGGCCTTACTGATCAAACTGAAGCCTGTCACTGCCGGTCGTAACAGATGCTTCACTTGCCCCTGACCTTGTAACAAACAGTTCTTGCAAACGGTGATGCGCTAGAACAAATGCTTTCCAAAAGCTGCGTGGCAGAGTCCTGCAGGCAAAGCAGTAACGTCTTGTAATAAAGACTAATCTGAACTTGCAAGGAGCAACTAGAACCCTTTGGGGGACTGCTGGAGACCTTGCTGAGCACAGGATTACAACTGCGCCTTCTGCAGAAACACACTCACTCAGCTTGCTTCCCCAGCTCCAAACATGTCCCGACTAAGTCAACTGTATCTCCCCCGGAGCCACGCAGGGAACACTACATTTATGCACTTCTGGAAAGTATTTTGAAATTGGCAAGGTATTCGCCTGTGAAAGTCACACGATGTCAATGGTACTAAGCCTTCACGTTAGGAGAAGGAAACCGATCTTCTTTAGGAGAAAAGCCGTGTGCAACACTGCCCAAACCAAATAAGTCTTTTGCGTGAAAAACCTCCGCGAGTGGCAACTAAGCTCCCAACCCATGCACACCCAACCCCTCCTATCCCGCTTTATTCTCAATAATAATCACTCCTCTCCCACCAAAGGCTATGCCTTAGTCGAATGAGCAAGCTAGGAAAGAATGCGCTGGGTTACAAGGTATGGAAGTAAGTAAGGGACTGGAAGGAAGAATCAAGAGGAACTTCAACAGGAAAGGGGGAAGCATCATAGTCAGGAATGATGAAAAAAGCTTTTACTTGAAGTGACGGAAGCACAGTCCCCCCACTCCCCGGCATAAAAT